ATTTATCTATGTTGCCGATAACATATGGATATGACAGTCTTTTCCAGCTTAGAACTCGGAAAAACGAAGCCACTGGATCAAAGGTTATTGCAGAATTGTTTATAAATTAACGGTAAATGCCGATAAACATTGACCGCTTATATTTTGAGAACCAATAAATGGAATTTAACTTTTTTCTAAGAAACATCTTTCCGAGTACTTTAAAGTTATAATTTTTGAAAAAAAACTAAATTGCAGATTTTAAATAAATTTGGTGTGTTGGTTTATTATACCTTTTACCAAAATTAGAATGCCCTCGAAGCAATTAAAATATTTTAAAAAAGTTATCCAAAAAACTTTGATTATTTTGCCTTTTTTTCATGAATTATTACTATTTTGCAACATCGGTAATAAATTTAAACATTTTTAACTTACAGTATATTTTGCAAAATTCAGTTCTAAAACTTTTTTCCTCTTCAATATTCTTCGAAAATGCATAGGTTCCAAGATATAAGTAAAAAACCCAGATAAAATAGGTATTTTTTAAAATTTTTTAAGCGTTTTTGCAATTTTGAAAATGTTCCGGACCTCGCTGGTCTAATAAAGAATCGAACTATTTTAAGCTACACAAATGTGCAGATTTGATTCGAATTGATATTCCAACTCGATTTTTTGATAAATGGATTCTAATCGACATACCGATTTTCAGGCCTACTACCGATTCAATTCGACAGTTCGATTCGATGCGATATCTCGATCTAATTCGATATTTCGATTCGATTTTTTGCCCATGCCTAAAATGGACACACATTTTTTAGGTAGTTCAAGTCTTAAGGGATGTGTGAATCTGAAGATAGTTTAGGATCACCGAGTTATAAAACAGCAATTTAAAATTTAAGAACGAGGTATAGAAAAAAAAACGGAATTAATGTCATTGTTCCAGCCTTAAATTAAACAGACACGTCTCGGTGCCATACCGAGTAAAGTCGGTGCCCGTCGGAAGACCGGATCCCCGAAACGGAATAGCTCGGATTCTGCAAAGATTTCTGAACTTTGTAAACAATATGGGTAGTTTTTGCCCGTCCCGTCAGCGCAGACACTCTGCTCCACTTAGGAGAGGCCGGCTTTTTGCCCGGCATCGATCCTTTCAGCATGTTGTTAGCATTGTTTCTTTAATTCCGCGATTCTCGGAGCCCGGCCTGCCGGCAAAAAGCACGTTAATGTACCATTCATTTGAACACAATTGCGAGCTGTGTGGCACTTGACGGCCGTTTCCAACGTGCCATTATCGTTTCGCGGGACGACGGCGATATCCTTGCTCTTTCTCCGCCCGGGGGTACGACGAATTTTCTGGTATTAATATTAATTTTTCGTGGATGGCTTCTGGTTGCATGATGGACAACGAAATGGTCACTCGGAAACCTACTCGAGCACTCTGGTTAAATATCAACTTACTCAGTTACTTTATTCACTGCTTAAATAAAAAAT